TTTTTCCTATTTCTTTAGATATGTTTGTATTTGCACTAGTTGTTATTCCAGCTACTGTTGTGCTCGATATAGTTGATGTTACAATTATTGCCGTAGAAGCATCTAATGACTTAGCACCTTCTTGTTCAGGTGTAATCAAAGAAGGAATAAGCATACTATTTGACGTTAAGGATTCAGGCACAACACTCCCTCCTTGTTCAACAAGTGTAGTCTACAAAATTAGAGAATTAAAAAAAAAAAGTTAAAAATGAAAAGAAAATAAATATGATATAAATTTTTAATTCTATACTCTTTAAAATAATAAATAAATAATATATTGATATTAATAAAAATAAAAATTTTAATACATGTTCAGCTAAGTCGACTCCAAGTTCTTCTTGTAATAATAATGCTTCAGCTAGTAATTCTTCTTCATGTTTACTAGCTTCCATTTCTAATGTAGCTAGTAAATGTTCTTCACCTTCTATACCACCTAAAAATGAATTCAATATATATTTCAATAAGTATAAGAAATTCAATAATTTCCAATATCTTTAGAAGTAATTACCCGAATCCAAGTTTGGCTGTAATTCTTCCGAGACATTAGATTTTATACTTGATTTAGATTCCAATTCGTGATTTTGTACCAAACAATCACCATTTTCTCGTTTTTCTATAGCAATTGAAGTTTCAGAATTTATAACTCGATCGGAAGACGTAGAAACAGTACCTTTGATTATAAATTTTAAATGATAATTTTAACGTATACAAATTTTTTAAAGTATGCATAAATATGTATGTATACAAACCGGCACGATTTGATGCTATAGACGATGTTGATGGCGAAGGTGTTGATGATAAATGTGTTACATGTGTAAGAGAATTTCCACTTCCAGAAGAAACAACAACTGTAGATGATGTCGTAGAAATCAATGATGTTACTACATTTTCTTGAATTTTCGAATCATTATTCGAACCAACACGACGAATAATATCTGGAGTAGAAAACAATGCAGGACCTAGATTGTCTACCATATATGCTGGCGATTTGCGATTTTCTTTTTTTGGATGTTTTTTCGTGCCTAAAAATAAATCGATATTTTTTATATATTTATAATATCATACATAAAGTAATTATATATAATAAAATATTATAAAAAAAAAATTATTAACCATCAAAAATCTTGTTCTCTGATGCTTTACCAGAATCTATTTCTGTTTTCATAACAATTTCTGAACCATCAAGTTTCTTTTTCTCTTTCTTCAAGTCACAAGATTTTATTTTTGAAATAGTACTAGGCGATGTTATTTTTGCTGATTGCTGATGTTGCATATTTGATGTTTGATTCTGTATCATTGTAGATTGTTGTGCTGACGATACTTGCGGTATTGTTCCTTTCATTTGAGTAACTGATACATTTGATGTTATATTTTTAGCAGTGACAGGTATTTGAACTAGTTTACCATCTTTGGTTGCAAAAAATTTCGTTCCAGTTTGATTCAAATATTTTCCTTTGGGGAGAATCATCTGTTTCTTTATGTCAATACTTTTAAGATCATTTGGCTTCATAAGCATTTGCTTTTGTACAAAAGTAACTTTTTGATTAGTTCTTCCTTGTCCAGGTTTTGTAAGAATCATATCACCTTTAATCATATTAGCATTAATCAAATTCGCTTTAACTTGATTCGTCGTTTGCAATGGTTTGTCAAAATTAACTGAAATATCTTCATTCATTATTGAAGATGATTCAACATGTTGCGATTCCTCTTTTTTCCGGGCAATAGTACTTTTAAGCTGTCTTTTACCTCTAATGAGACCAAATCCTCCTAGGAAAAGAAAAAATAAAATTGTTTTCAATTTATCATGAATACATTTTATATTAATAAAAATGAAAAAATAAATAAAAAAAATAATTACTTCTTATACCTGACTTTTCATCTTTCTCAGGACTCTTCATAGCATTCACAGCAGCAGCCATTTCCATATCTAACCGACGAACTTGTTCCATATCCATTTGTTTATTAGGACCTCTTCTACGTGTAGCTACCATACTTCCTCCTCTAGTAGTAAGTCCTTTTCTACCACCTCTAGCTCTTACACCACCTCTTCTAGGACCTCTTGGACCAAAATCTGAATCATTATCAGATGGTGGTTCTGAATCTGATGATTCAGTTGATGACATTAACTCTTCATCATCCTCATTATTAGATTTTCCTTGATCTAGTTGAAAAAGTATCATAATGTTAATTTTATATAAATTAGTAAATTTAATGCTATGGTATGATTACTTTTTCCAATTCCTTGTTGCATTACACCTGTTAAATTTCTTGAAATTGGATGTCCAACAGATTTAGGCGTGCTTGTTATATTGATTGATTTTGAATTATTAGAAAGAGAAGTAGATGTTGCAGGAAAATTTTTTCGTGGTCTACCAACTGGTTTACCCTGGAATAAATAATACAATGATGAATGCATTCAATTTTTACTGCTAAATTATAAAAATTTAGTCATATTAGACTTACAGTTTTTACAATAGCTTTTGATTTTATTGTGACTGTATTCTCAGTATCGCCAATAGGCGATGACATTTTGGATGTTCCAGGAGCAGGTGAATGTTGACGCCCATATTGTAAACCATCATCAGAAGTAGGTGAATCAATAACAGGCAATGGATCTCTTGGCTTTGGATCAGAAGGAGATAATCTACTTGTATAACAATGATCTAATTTAACACTATATCTTATGGAGTTTTGTTGTTCTTCCACTGTTAACATATCTGAAAAATATGATTAAAAAATTAATCAATTAAAAATTAAATTATTTAAAAATTATTATCAATTATCAAATTAATTATTATTTAATTATTTGAATCAATTATTACATATATGATGAAATGAAAATAATTCAATTTGCATTTAATTCAATTATAATTCATTATAATTCAATTAATTCAATTTATAATTTTTATACCTAAGAGTTTCATAGCAGAGTTTTCAAGTGCAAAGAATTAAAATAAAATAAAATAAAACTAATAATACCAAGCATTGCTGTAACATTTTCTCCTAGAATTTGTTTTGCCTCTTCACTTTGCAAAGCTGTCTCTAATCGTTCCAATTGTTCTGGATCCATTTCCATGAAAGGGTCAACCAAACTATTTGTATCAGTAGATGTACCAGAATTTATTGCAGTAGATGTAAACATTGGAGGATCAACAGTTAATGTGATATCTCCATTTTCTGTATCTGTTTCTGCTTGTCCTACTCTAACAACACTAACATTTGCATTGGATTGATTCACTAAAAGATAACATGAATAATTAATATCTAAAACCATAATCCCAAATGAGTTTATAATATAAACTTACTGATTAAACTCTGCAAAGTTTCTTGATCAACAGATATTGTACCATCATCATTAACAATGATAATCAATGTATCATCTTTCTTTTCTAATCCACTCTCTTGTGGTTCAATAATAAATGAGCTAGACATTTTTCTTTAAATAATAGAAATGTTGCACTATTTGCTTTCAATGAAGTTATCTTGTCAAAAACAGTGTCACAATTGTCTCACAAATGAATCGTATCCAGAAGAAAGAAAGATTATATATGCCCTTTAAAGGGAGAAGTAACATTCGAACAAGCATCGAGAATATCAGAAGGAATAAACAAGAATTCCGATTAATCAGCCGCGTTCCTGGTTAGATGGAAATTAAATTTGGATGTGCAGTATAAGCCGGGTAACATCAAAATAAGTTGAATATAACAAATTTTTTAAGATATATATCAAAGAAATCACGAAAAATTAAGAAAAAGTAAAATAACAAATAATTAAAAATTGCGATACACAGTATCGTGTCGTTCACGTTTGTCACGTTATTATCTATTCTACGCTTTATGATACACAATTATAAAAATTTTAAAAATGATAAATATTACACGTTTTTTTAAAGAATATCAAATTAAATTGATATTAATTAATAATAAAGAAATTAAATATACAACATCTTTAATGTCACACTTTGAAAGAAACATAATGTTCATGGTCAAGTAAACAGTACCGCCAAGAAAAGGATAGTCGCCATTTTGTTTGAGTTAGCCAAGTAACGTTTCCCAAAAGTTTTCGGTCATCCGTCGTTGTTTCGTTGTTATTAAGTTATTTCACAATAAAGCTCTTCGTATGAGACTTTTTTTATGTAACTTTCGCAAAAATAACGTAATTAGCGAAAAAATAAGACTTTTTTCAACGATACATGATGTTACGAACGCACTTCTACCTTTCTGCACACACTGAGACGCTGCGCACTTCTCGTTGCGCAACAACGAGAAGAGTAAAGCAGTAGCGCTATAGCGCGTTAAAAACACCTTCTTGAATTGTAACTGATAATATTTAATTTTTACGAATCTCAATTAAATATTTGTAATATTTTAAAATAGTTTCTATGTTATTAAATGTTGTCTTTGAATAACATTTTCATTTAAATTTTCAATGAAATATGACATATTTAATATATTATATTTTTAAATGATATAAATAAATTTGAAGTTATGAAGTTATAAATTATATTATATATTTCTATAAATTTTTTTTTTACTTTTTTGATAAATCTTAATAAATTTTTTATATTGATTTTAATATAATTAGTGTATATGTGAAAATAAATAACAGATTCGAAATAATATTTCTTATTTATTTCTAGATTTATTTCTACATATGAATTAAATAAATAATACAAAATAAATTTTTATATATTATTTTATATATTATATAAAATGGATTGAATATTATAATATAATATTTATAAATATGATAAAATGGAAAAATAAAATTTAAAAATAAAAGAAAAAAGTAAAATAAAATACAATAATAATAATCAACATTGTATATACATTTTAACATTTCGTATCATACAGTTAAAGTTTTTCCGTAAGAGGGAGTATATAAAAAGAGTTTGTTCGATTAAAATAAATAACTTTATTACAAATAAGAACGAAGAAGATGGAAATGAATATATAGTTATATATAAAATATCGAAAATGGAAAATATTAAATGTACAAAAATTATAAAACTTGATGGATCGAAAATAAAAAAACGAAAACGAGGAATTGTATATTTATCTAATATACCTAAATATATGAATATTTCGAAAATTCGTGAATTATTTTCGATATATGGAGAAGTTGGAAGAATCTATTTTCAATTAGCAGAAAATGGTTAATTTTTATATGTGATATGTGAAATATATATAAAAAGTTTTATTCCACATAAACATAACCTCTATTTCATATTTTTTTAAAACATATTTTTTTTAAAAGAATACATACATTCATTCATTTGATAATAATCGTGATATTTTCCATTGATTAATATTTAAATATGTATAAGTATCTTTTTTATGCAGGATTGGAACAAGATGGTAAAACAAAAAAACGAAAAAAAATTTATACAAAGTTTTTTACTGAAGGATGGGTTGAATTTGAAAGTAAGAAAATAGCAAAATATATTGCATCTACATTGAATAATACACAAATCTCAACTAGAAAAAGGAGCAAATTTTATGATGTTATGTGGAATATAAAATATCTCCCAAGGTATAAATAAATAATAATTTATTTTTAAATTGTAATTACAGTTTACATTGCATAAAAAATGCATTTGTATTAATATATACATATCATTTTTATTAGATTTAAATGGATTCATTTGAGTGAACGTTTAGCATATGAACAAGCAGTACGTAAACAAAGATTACAAACTGAAATTGCACAGGCAAAGCGAGAAGCAAACTTTTACTCACACAATGTTGATAGAAGTAGAAAATTACATCAAGTGCAACAAAATGGAAATAGTTCTTTCATACCACCTATAATAAAACAGAGAGACACAGATGCTGAAATTAGAAGCAGAAAAGAAATCGAATTAATAACAGATAGAACAGGTTTCTTAAAATCTTTATTTGGATGAGATATTTAATTATAATATATATTGAAAGATTTTTAAAAAAAGATTCAAAAAAATTGTATTAAAATTATGTATTTGTTTATATTATTCTTTATATTTAAACAAATTATCAAATTATCATTTGATTAATGAAATAATTTAATTGATTTGTAATGAATTTTTTTATCTTTTATATCTTCTGATATAAAATAAATCATATATATTATATTTTATATATTTTTTCTTTTTTTCTTTAAAATTTCTATTAATAAATAGAATTTATAAATATTAATTGTTTATTTTTTTTATATTTTAATATTTAGTCTTTAGAATATAAAATATATCATTAAAATATAAAAATCATGTATTAAATTTATTTTCACAAAAATAATTACATTAAAAAAAATGAATAAGTATAATAATATGCTTGTTATATCAAACAATTTAAATTAAATAATAATTTTAAAAAATATTTATAAAATATATTAAATTATTGTTATTCTATCAAATAAATAAAAAATTTATTTTTTATAATATATCATATTTTATTTCCTTTATCATTATCATATATCTGAGAAAAGAAAAGTACAAAAACTCGTTATATTTTTCTTATATCATTATTATTCAATTTTTTTAATTCAGTTAATAAAATTCAAAAATATACATGTATGAAGAGTTTATAGAGAGTTATTCAATTATGTTTAATTTAAAGAAATCATCATATATAATATATTATCGGTAAATATCGAACTATTCAATTACAAAAATAAACGATAAAATTTTAAAATTATTATTATATTTTAAAATTAAAAAAAGAATTATAGATTCATTATTATATTATATTGTAGTATATTATAATTTGGACATCGATGTTTTTAATATTCAATTACTAATAATTCATTTGATATTTCAAAGAAAATAAAATTCTATAGAAAGAATGTATTTATTTTCCTATAAAAAAAATCATATAATATCATAGTTTATAATTATTCAATAAATAAAATAATGTTTAATAAATAAAATATATATTTTTATAAATTATGCGTCAATTAATCAAATTTTTTAATATTATATAACTGATATTTATTCGTCTAATTTGTTAATAATAGAAATACATTAGATTCAATTGAAAAGAGAGTGAAAGACAAAGAAAAGAAAGGAAAAAGATAAATGAAAAGATAGATAAAAATAGAAAAGAGTTCGAAAGGGATGACATTATGACATTTATTCGAGACCAACATCGATTCAAATCCTTAATAATCAATTGACTCAATTTAGACCTAGTTATTTTTCCGTCAATGAAAGAAGGTCAGTATTGCTGTCCCTTACAATGTTTGGCGCCATAATGTCGCCTTCTAAGCGATGTTTTTCCTATATTCTTAATTCTTATTTTCATTACCGTTAACCAACCGGAATAATCTCCAACGGTGTGGATACATCACAAAGAAGCCCCCATTCTTGATATAACCGAACGTATAACTGTTAATATGAATTGCACTAGTAATGACATTAATACCGTTTTGTTTTTCCATTTCACTTCATTAGCAACTTATCTAATGAATTCAAATTTAATTAATAACGAATTTATTTGACTTTATTTTTTATTCTTGATTTTATTTTTATTTTTCTTTTTTTTATTTTATTTTTATTTTTATATTATATATTTATTTATTTTTATTTTTATATTTTCGATATATTAAATATTATAATAATGTGCTAAATAAAATACTAAGTTTTACATAATATGTTATACCAGATATATAGAAAAAATTTGATTTAAAATTTTTGATGTAAAATTCATTTAAATTTGAAAATAAAATAACTTTCAAACCTTATTTTTATAGATTTATCGATAAATTTGATAGTCTAAAATTAAATTTACTTAGATTTTTTGTACGATAAATTTTTTTGTAAAATTGTAAAATTTCCATATCTATTTATGTATAATTTGATTCTTTTTTTTCTGATATCTAGATAATTAGATTTTAAATGGATTAATTTGATGATTTGCAAAGATAAAATCTTTAAATTGTTGAAAAAACAGAAGAACACAATTACATTTTAAAAAGAAATAAAAAAATATATATTTTAAAAAAATAAAAGTTATACTATTATACTATTATATTACTATAATAATATCTAATATATATCACATATGAATTTTCATTCGCTTTATTTATTAGAATATTAATATTCCATTTGGAGTCATAATTTATAACATCTTAACATCCTTTTTTAAAAATTTTTTAAAGATCAATGGAGAAATCATTCATTTTTCATAAGATAAATTATACCATATCGAAATTTACATATGAAATAAAAAGGGAGAATAAAAAAATACTTATTTATAAATTTTAAAATAATTCTGTTATGTGAAAAGAAAAATTATATAAGGCACATAAAAATACTTTTCTATATATAAAATTAGAACATAGAATTGGTAATATCTTTTTTTCAATGTTAAAATTCGTTTTAATTTTTAATTTTGATGATTTAGAATTTTCAAAAATAATATATTTATAAAATAATAATATAATTAAGTAATATATTTACAAAATATAATTCATTTATTATTTTTTTTATTTATTAGCTTATTAATACTGCTTAACTATATAATAATGATTATTATATCATACATTAATTACTTGTATATTATATGTCATAGTATTAATAAGTGAAATCTTAATAACACAAATTAAAATAAAAAATAATAAGACAAAAAAGTTATTTCATTTCATGAATTTTCAAAATTTCTTTCATTTTTTTCTATCAATTAAACAATTTATATTTGATTATCAAAAAGACCAACAATAAAAAATTAAAATTGGTTTACAAATGTACATTTTTCAAAAAGATACTTTAATATTTTTTTCAAAAGTAAATATATATATAAGTAAATAAATATTTTTTAAATAATTAAGATCTTTCTTAATGAATAACTATCACAAATTCGAAATGATCATCGATTAATTTTTTCGATGTTCAAATATTCAAATTTTAAAATTATAAAGAAATCAATAAAATTGTAAAATTTATAAAATTTATAAAATATAAGACATTAACTATGAATAAGCATTCAATATGTTGCAATTAATATTATAAAATAATTATAAAATAATTGTATGAAAACATTGTATTTTTCATTCTTTCTATGTTGTTTTTTCAATATAAAAATACTTTTCTATATATAAAATTAGAATATAGAATTGGTAATATCTTTTTTTCAATGTTTATTTTTTTTTTATAATTTTTTTTTTGCAAGATTAAAAAAAATAAAAATATAATGAAATAGTAAAAAGAATATTTAAAGGTATATTTAAAATATAAAAAAAAATCTCGTTGTTGTTTATAAGAAAATAAGAAATACAGAAATCATTTAATCATTTAATTAATTTAAAATCGATAAAATGATTAAATGATTAATTCTATAAGTAGATCAGATTAAAAAAGATTTTCTCATAATAGTTTCTTTTTGTTTGCTATTATATTTAGTTATTTATATAGAGCATATGATTGTCCATTACAGTGATTAGATATTCTCTGCATCCTTGGCACCCACGGTTTTAGCGAAATTCAACGACACGTGTACTTAAGGCAATTTCTTCGTCATTCCACGTGTCGTCCTAAAATTATCGTTGATGAACTGTCTTTATTCTTTCACTGCTGTCACAATATTTTTTGCTACTGTCGATTTTCGAAATATAATTCGAAACATTGCATCACGCATCTATGTTCAATCTTAAAAACATAAATCGAAATAATAAAAATAATTTAAAGAAAAAAAAGGGAAAAAAGAAAATAAATTAAATGAAAATAGAGAGAAAATCGAAAAAAAGAGATAGATAGATGATGAAAGATAATAAGAAGGAAGTAATAGAATGAAATGACGATAAAAAAAATGCAAAAGAAAGAGAGGAAAAAAAGAAGGGAAGCATGAAAAGAAAAAAAAGTTCTCGATATATAGACATGTCTCGAATAAGACATAAGGTACTTGTTATTTGCAAAGAAGAAGATTGCAGGCTCTATTTCTGCCTGTTCGCAATTAGGTGGGTAACTGATGGTGCCGAAGGAGTAACTTGAAGCTAAGAGACCGGGGGGCAGCGATAACGCAGCGATTCTCTGAGTAACTTGAAGGGGTGGCGAAGAAAGGGATCCTCCCTCTGAAAGAGAAGGACGCGCGCACCGAACACCTGCCGAGAGGTGTATATTAGACGCAGAACATCGCGATGCCCAGATCAGAAGGATTCCGTTCGTTGTGGTGTTGCTGTCATTCAACGAAGACCATATCAAGGTATGTCTTTCGAGATACCGATTACATACATACATTGAAAATACATTGTTGTAATTATTGTTATCTCGATCGACAGTAAAGTTTCGGTTTTGGAGAAAATTTTATATTGTAACGTTGTCATTGTCTTTAAGGTCTAGATTCGTCCTCGGTATTCAGTGTCGAGTGTCGAGTGTCGTATGTCTAAGTGTCTCGAGTATCGTGTGACTAGGGAATGGAGGAAGGGAACCGAACGCAACAGGACAAGAAAGAATACAATCCGAGTCGAATCGAATCGAATTAAATCGAATCGAATCGAGTCGAGTTGAATAAAGTTTACTTACATTGAATTAAAATAGAGGGTCAAATTAAATTGATTTAAAATTTTTTAAAAATTTAAACTTTTTTTCAATATTTATTGCTTTTATGCTAAATTAGAGTTAAAAAATAAATTTAAAAAAGGAAATTTTCAATGATTATCTTTTGTATAAAATTTATACTATTTTTGATGATTCTATAGATGTCATATATTTAACATTCTCATGAATTTTAATGATTTAAATATGTTTTAAAAAACAAAATTTTGAACAATTTTTTCTTATAGATACATATAATCGATTTTAATTTTCAAAATATTTATAAAAATGCTTGCTACTACTATATTGAAGTAAAATATCCGTGGAAATCACTTAATATTTATGAATTAGGTATTCTTGGGATCTGTAAAATGCGAAAATAAAAAATAAAATAATTTTTGGTTGAAATTACAATGATCGAAATGATAACGATAGATCAAGTGATTCATATTTTGGATATATAATAAATAACAATGCACATGTTATCATAGATATGTACGTATAGGCAAAATTTAACATAATAGTAACATTATTTTTTGCAAACATTTCGAAAACTAAAACTGATTAATAATTATATATATAAGAAAAAATTGTTTGAAATTTTATCTCATCATATATATTTAAAAATCATCAAAATTCACGAGGGTATTATATATTAATAAATTGATTTTGTTCTTGAATTGTTAAAATGATTCATTTCATTTCAATAAAGTTGTCAACGAATAAATAATCGTTTAAGAAACAAATAATTGAAAAAAAATAAGCATATATGTACATCTGTTAGCTGTCTTATCAAATGTCGTATATTGAGAAAAGAATGACATTCTCTTGCTTTCTCTAATTGTTCGCTTTAATTTATATCAATTGCATCTGAACATGGTCGAGAGGAATACATAAACATTATTAATGAAAGATATTAACAAAAGATGCACGCTTTTTAATGAATTATAAATGTTTAAATTGAATTTCAGCTTCTTATATTTTCTTATATATAATTATTCTTGTTATATCCTGAATTCATATAATTATTTATATTATTTATATAAATTATTAACTATTCAACAAATATTATTCATTAATTCTTATAATGTTTTATCAATAACAAATATAAATTAATATAAAGATTCTCTAATTAAATTTTCTAAGATAATCAAAATCATATTATGATAATATTAATAAAATCATAGTAAATAGTGAAAATAGATTAAAAAAGGAAAATACAGAAAATAGTTAAAAAAAAAAAGAAAAAAATTTCTTTTTAAATTCGGTGATGAATGATTATAAATATGGAAAAATATCTGTAAATATGTTAACATTTGTATTATTTATCTAATATTATTATTTATTTAATAAAAACGGATAGCAGTTTAGCAAACACTAAAAAATAAATTTATAATGTATATTTATATATATTATTAGATTACTCTAACATTATCGTCTTCGATAGTCAATATAATCGAATGACACAGAATCGTATAATTTTGAAAAGCATGGATTGCTGAAGAAAAATTAATTATAAAAAAAATGAAATAAAAACTAATCCAATTGCTAAAATAAAAAAAAATATATCTTATTTAAAAATAAATGATTTATTTATTTATATATTTGAAAATTATTCGAAAATTATTCAAAAATTTTGATTTATTAATTTATTAAACTAATAAAAAATTATCACTAACATTTTGATATTTGATTTAAAAATAAAGTATATATAATTAAAGTTGAAAATTACATCTTAAATGCGAATGTGTATACATAAAGAATACAAGTAGCTAACCAAGCGATCGAACAACCGGACAAACACCGATCCAGAAAGCTATTCTGAGAATTTGCTACGGAATTCGAAGGCGAGCTACTTTCCGTTTTCAGAGAAGTCGCCGAGTTATTTATAGCTCATAGTCCTATCGTGATCTGTTTGTCAGAAAACAACATTCAGTTTTTCTCCTCTTTCCCTAATCTTAATTTTTCATAGAATCTCTTGCTAATGAGTTTAAATATGATTAATAAGAACTGCTTAAAAAAAAATAGCTATTTGATATATTAATTATTTATTCATTAGAATTTCAAAAATTAATAACCAACATAAGAAACTTGATAAGTGATGAATAAAGAAAGAAGAATAATAATCGTCTCAAATCTTTGACTTATTATTTTACGATTTCTATTATAAAATGATAAGATAATCATATACGATCGAGTATCATTATCTAGTCATACAAAAGTTTCGTTCTATCCATTCTATTTCGAAAGTTCATGTTTGATTATGTTTAGAAATAGAATGATGTATCGAGGCAGAATGATATTAAAGAATGAAATCGAAATGAAAAATTTAAATGAATTTTGTTTCCGAATCGCATGATAATTTCTATGAGTAAATGGAGTAAACCATTTCGTTATGACTCGATATGATTCGCGGTGACAGAACATGAGCACGCGCGTGCAGAAGCACAACTGAAAGACAGCGAAAGGGAGGAAAGGGGAAGAGAAGTGAAGTAGGCATCAACGGAGGGGGTTAGCAATGAACGGGTGAGCGTAAGAGGAACCTAGGCTGATCGTAGTTGTTTCGAGTGGCCGCTTGACTCGTACAGGAGGGTCTTTTAACCGTCCATTCGCGTTAAGTGCCAGTCGTACTTACTGAGGGGCTCAACTGTAACAGAAAAGGATGGCAAAGCGTGTGCGTGCTTCACTGCCCTATACAACCAGTCCGATTCCGAGTCAGTATTCACTGTGATTGGTTACTCTATCATCGATACTTTACTCTTTGGTCTGAAGCTGACAAATTGGTGCCGCGTGTCGTTTCGTATGTTATTATATTTTTCCCCTCTCTTTTACGGTGTTCTATTTATGCAAGATTTCTTATTAACTTATTGTATTCATTTTAATGTTTGTTTGTTTTCATCTAAATTATTATTTTTTTACTTTCAACGAGAAAACATATATTTGACATGTGATCTTGTATTTCTTTGTGCATATTTTGCCAAAGAAAAAAACAAAATCACTCTATCCTTGCCAAATTTTAAATATAAAGCTAATTTTTAAATATAATTTAAATATACAATTAATTATTAAACGAAAAACAAAAAATAAAAAACAAAAAATTTTTATATGAAAAAAGAATATGTTGATGTTTTAAAAGGAAATTGAAACTTTTTTATCGAATTTGTAATAACTTAAAAGAAAAATAAAGGTAAGAAAAAAAAAAGACGGAAAAGAATCATGATGAAAAAGAGAAAACAAGAGGAAGAAAAGAAGGAATAAAATATAAAATAGAAAGAGAAGTGAAGATAGAAATAGTGTTAGTGGAGGTGACTATTCAGTGGTAGTGGCGATAGTGATGGTAATGGTGATGGTAGTACTGATGGAAATGGAGGTGGAAATGGAGGTAGCGATGCAAAAGAAAGAGGTGGTGGTAATAGTGATAATGGTGATAGAAGTAAAAATGCGAGTGGTGACGATGGAAACAAAAAAGAGAATAGAATTAAAAAAAGAATTAAAGAAAGAATTAAAAAAATTTTAAAAACTATATAATTGAAAATGAGAAAATAAAGACGCGCACATTGATGAAAAAGATATCAAATTAAATTGAAAGAGAAAATAATAGTAATACTAGAAACGTACTTGATATTTAATTCTATATTATTTGATAAATGATTTAACAATTCTATTATAATTATTATAAGCAGACAATTAGCTATTAAAGTTAAATGCGTGAAAAAATTAATTGAAACGTATGCACTGACTGGTACGGATACAGACATTAAACCTATCATTCTCCTCATCATGGTTAGTTCTCAATCGTGATAAAGTTCAATACTGCACAACACTAAAACAATGATAAAATTATGAGAATATATATAAAATAAATAATAGAAAAAAAATATTATACAAATTTATTTAAGATTATTTGTGATAAAAAAAATGGAAAAATAGTATTAAGAAAAAAAAAATAAATATAAGAAAATAAGTACAAGATATTAACGAAAAACAAAAAAAAATAAGGCAAGATTACGTACTGTTTATGTATACAATAACTTATCGTTTATTATTGTTCTTATTCAAGGGAAATTTTTACTAGTTGATAATAAAGTTTTCTTGAATTTTCAACGAATTAGTAGAATTGATTTCGATTTAATTTAATGTTCGTCGAAAGAAATGAAGCTGCCGACGCATATAATCCACCATGGGGGACAACGACCGTCATCACGCTACGAGAAGCTGTGTCAACTTAACAATTCACTATGTGAGTTTCGAAAATGAATGTTTGAAGAAACTACTTTATAAACGAGACTTACATAAAGTATCATTTGTGAAAAAATGTATTTTTTCATAAAAAAATACATCATAAATAAATGGAATGCATGTAAAATTTAATAAAATATTCAGTTAAAAATAACATTGGATTTATAAAGAATTAAAATTTATAAAATATTTTATAAAAAATTAAAAAATTAAAATTTAAGATTATGTTATATAGATTAATATCTTTTGGTATATATCAAAAGAATTATTTCTAAAATCTTTTTCTATTTTATGAATTATTTTCTTCTATATTTCCTTTTATTTATTTCATTCTTGTTTTCTTTTATATTTAATTTAAATATATTCTATATAAATATATATATTCTATTTTTCTAATCGAAATTTTAAAACATATTTTCAGAATTGTCTGAGAATTTATATTTGTAAAAAAGTATGCTATACTATTAAATAATTATTTTAACAAATATTATAGAGAAAGTTAATTTAACAAATTTTTTTTTATATTATATATACAATGTTCAATATATATGGATATGTATATTTTATTTCAATCAATCTTAATTCTACTATACTCTTTGCTTTAAATCTAAAATGGATCAATATTCTGCTCTATTATCAATGAAAATATCTATCCAGTGACACAATTTTATCATAAATTTGTCATTAATTCATGTTTATATTATAAATGCGTGTAAAAGTCAAATTTTCTTTTTCTCAATTTAAAATTACAAAAGATTTTAATAAGATTTTGTACATTTTTATTTTAATTTATTGATAATTTACTATATACAAATATTATATATCTATTTTTTAAAATTTGAATTTTTATATGCAATAAATATTTCTATATGTTCTAAAAAAATTATATCTAGTTAAAAGTTATATCTACTTTATAAATTTATTAAAAATAATATCTTTTTTCATTATATAATCTAAATTTACTTATATCATTAAATTTTTAAACTTTTTTTTTCTCAAAAAAATTAAAAATAATATAATATTTGTACAGTAACCTATTGATATATAATTTAATCGGGTGGATTGAATTATTAACTTCTTCCTGTAATTTATTCTACTTTCCTATCTATACAAAAATATGTTTTTATCTTCGATAAAAAATTAATGATAATTTAATATAACTTTCATATTAATATTTTTTATATAAAATAACATTTGTTACATTTAGCAAAGAAGGTGAAATGATGCAATGAGTTCACGTCGGTTGATGCAACTGTGACGTAAGTTTACGTGAACTATGACGAGACAATTTCTAAAGTAATTCTTTATCAATAAGTAACAATGAACAGTTTTTGAAACAGAATTTGGAAAAATCGGAATGACATAAAACAATATGAAAAATTATATAAATTTCTAGAATATTATATTTTTTTTTATCAAATCAAATTTATCACATAGATACGTGTGTAAAATGTTTATTATATTTAAATCTAAATTTGAAAGGAAAGTTTTTTCATTTTTTTAACCATATTTATTATTTACTTCTATCATTGAATATTATTTATTAAAAAAAATATATATTTAAAAAATTACATAAATAGATTATATATACTGTTACTATATTAAATAATAGAAAACACTTTAAATAATATATCGAAAAATATTAATTAAAAATAATGTAGCACGTAAAAAAAAGTATATAAAAGAAAACAATAGAAGTAATAATTATATAAGAAATAATAATGAAAATAGATGTATATAATGGAAACTTAGATAGAACTGATATTGTTGGTAGTGATAATAATGATGACGGTAATGATGATGATGCTAATAGAAATGATATTAATAGTATTGTCAATATTGATCCTAGTTATAATAAGTTATGACAGTGTATAATAGTAATGCTGATGATAACAATGACAATATTTTGATAATAATGATAATAGAAATATTAATGCTGATATTGACAATAATTATTAAAAAAGAAATAGTTTTATATAATCAAAAATACAATCATGTCAAAAACAATGAAAGTAAATTTTTTTAAATTAAGAACAAAAATTTTTGAATATATATTTTTAAAATTAAGTATTTCTTATTAAGTATTTTCTAATTATTTTGCATATTTAAATAAATTATATAAAGGAATACGTAAAATTAAAGAGGAAAATCAAATCAAATCAAAAAAAGAAACATATATTCAAAAAAAGAAAAAGAAAGAAAGCAGATAAAAAATAAACACAATGCACAAATATTTTAGATGTATTATGAAAAAGAAAGAAATAAAAAATCAGATGATAAATAGATAAATATGTAAAATAGACAAGCTGACAAACATAATATATGCATAAATAAATAAATGATGGAAAGAAAAAAGAGAGAAAAAAGATAAATTATGTATAGAGAGAGGAAGGGAGAGAAGGCAGAAAGATGCGAAAAGGAAATCTCGCCCATGGTTTAAAGGCCAATCCGATCAGTTCTCTGGATTGTCACGTACGGCCTACCTGTATGCGGTGGATCGAACGGAGAACGGAGAAGGCTCTGTCCTTCGATATATCTCGCGTTGTTCGGCTCCGACGAACTCGACAGTGCTGGAGCCGAAGGGGGTGGGTGGTCGAGGAGGCAGGCGGGCATTCTGCCGCGCGCGCGCCTTTCTCGAGATCGCGATACCACAGTTCCGCGGTAGTACTTGTCTCGCGTGTTTCCTTCCGCGACGTTTGAGGAATTGCCTCAAAGAAGGAAGTGTTTTATAATAGACAAAAATACAATATTAAAAAAAATAAGATTTTTTAATATAATAGTGATCGAAAGAATCGTTCATGTATACTATATATAATATAATATCATGTATACTATAAAGATGTAAAATATTTAGTGAAGTGATAATTATTATTGATATTTTATAAAATTGATAAAAAAAAAAAAGAATCGGTTAAGATAGATCCTTTTTTTTTTTTGTAAAATTGGCGAATGAGTTTTTCATAATATTTTCCATAAGGAGTGATCAAAAGTGAGTTCGAATCGATTGAAAAAAAGAAAGGGAAGATAGAAAGAGTAAGAAAGAGAAAATAGGGGGTGGAAAGCAAGCTGGGCGGGAGGGTGGGAGGGAGGGAGGGAGGGAAAACACAAGGAGAAGAAATAAAAGAAGAAGAGAAAGAAGAAAAAGAAAGAAAAGAATGGAAATGAAAAAAAAATAGTTATTTATTATAAAAAAAATAAAATTATAAAAGAAAGTAGCATGAGAAAAATGTGCATATAAAAAGTGAAATAATATCCTGAAAAATAAGTTGTGAAAGGAAAATAAACGGGAGTGCAAAGAAAGAAAGAAAAAAAAAACAAATTCATAGAAAGAAAGAAGTTAAAAAAAGTGTTGTGAAGAGCTTGATACATTGAAGAATATAGAAAATAAAAATACAAGTAGTACAAAAAAAGAAGAAAAAATATTTTAAATGTAAGTCTTATTTTTGTATTGTGTGTATTATTTTGTGCACATAAATGCAACAATTTAAATTTCATTTTTTACTTATATATTTCAATATAAAGCCTTAGTTGTAATATTTATTTTTAACTATCGTTCTTATTAATCCGTTTATATAAATTTTTACAATTGATAAATATTGATAAATAATTGATAAATAAGATGATACATAACGCGATTCTTGTTGATTTTTCACTTCGAATAATTATATGTATACATATACGTATATATGTATATGTATACGTATATATATTATAAAATCAAATAAAAAAATTTGAAATTTTCTTAAATTATTATTATCTAAAAAAAGATATGATTATTTATATAGAATCAATAAAAGATATATATATATGTATATATATTAAAAAATATTCGTCCTAATTATCCGTTTATCAACTATAAATTTTATAATCAATTTCTAAACTATATTATTTTCATTCCATAAATAATTTTTTATTATTTTCAATTATTCATCTATTTTATTTTGATTAATTTAAAGCACAACAAACTTTAAATGTTTATTAGAAATATTTCCCAAATATTTGTACATTAAACACATAAAAATTCTAATTTAAAAAAATAAATAAATTTAAAAAATTAGAATTGAAGTCATATGTTTAATGAATTAATTAAATTCCTATTATACTGCTAGAAAAATTAACAAGAAAGATAGAAAAAAAAAAGATTGTTAGAAAAGAGTGTTTGATTGAAACATTAGAAAAAGCAATAGTAAAAGAAAAAAAATAAAAAAGAAAAGGAAAAAACAGAGAAGAATAAAAAAAAAAAATAAAAAGAGAAAAAAAGAAAAAAGTCCTTATGCGAGGAACGAACGGAAAAGTAAAAAAAAAATGAGGATGAAAGGATATAAGAGGGCCTCTATCTTTAGAGTTCATTCAGTGAATCTTTCACTCAGGGCCGAATGAGTGAGCACCAAACACGAGTTGACTCATACTCGAAAGATCAATATATTAAGAAATGAAAAATAGGAAGATTCAATATATTCCTCATTTATAATTTTTTATTAAATAGATTAATTTCAAATCTTCGGATAAGATTTAAATTGATAAAAGAAAAAAATGGAAAAAAATAAAAATGAAAAAAATTAAAGCAATATTTTTTTTTGATTGATTTTTTATTTTACATTAATCTAAAAATGATGAGATTAATTTGAATATCGATATAAAAAGATATAAATAATATATCGATTAATTATTAATTGTAATATATATTCAATTCAATTTAATATACTTACAATTTTATATTAAATAGATTTATATTTTTTCAATTAAATTAATACACACACACACACACACATATATATTATATATTATATATATTATAAAAGATAAAGAATAAAGAAAAAGAAAGAGAAAAAAGAAAAAGAGATCAAAATGAAGAATATTTTTCTAATTTAAAATATAAAAAAAATAAAAATTTAACATGAACAAAAAGAGAAAAATAGAAAAAAAACAGAATTTATACTGTATTGTTGAAAAAGAAAATAATACGAAGCATATTAAATAATTAAACATGAAAATAATATA